AGAGAATTCAAAGCAGGCTCCTTGGCCAGTGTGGAGCCCCACATGGGGCTCGATCCCATGACCCTGAGATAATGATCTGAGCTGAAATCAAATCAAGAGTCAGACACTTAACTGACTAAACCACCCAGGTGCCCCTTTTTGTTTTTGTTTTTCACAAATATTTCATGGTTGTTATATGCCAGGTAGTTTTCTAGTCTGTGGATAGGACAGACCCCTGCCTTTATGAAACTTAACACTGTATCGGATTACAAGTTTTTACTATGAGCCTCAGTATAGAGTTATCTGATGTGGTAAAATATGTTCAAGTTAGGGCAACTCATCACTTGTAGAAGTCGCATGTAAGATTATGGGGAGATTTTACTGCAAACACAGTGAAGGGATGGTTTGTAAAATAGAGTCAGAATGCTTATTTTCTTTGGTTTTTGTTTGTTTGAATCTTCAACAAATATTTACATTTGCAAACTAGTTGTCAACATTGAATTATAAGGGAGTTTCATTTAAAATGAGGATTCTTAAATTTTTCTTAACATTGGAAATTGACCATATTAGGCCTATGTGATCTCATGGAACCTCTGGGCTATTACTGGATAGTAAGTAGCTGCCCCTCTAGAGCTGGAGCAGGAGAAGAGACACCTACTTTTGTTTTGTTTTGTTTTAAAGATTTTATTTATTTGAGAGAGAGAGAGTGAGGGAGAAAGAGAGAGCATGAATGGGGTGGAGGGGCAGGGGGATAGAGAGAAGCAGACTCCCCACTGAGCAGGGAGCCCGATGCGGGGCTCTATCCCAGGACCCTGGGATCATGACCTGAGCCCAAGGAAGACACTTAAGGGACTGAGCCACCGAGGTGCCCCAAAGGACACCTAGTTTGAAGTGGAGCCTCACAAGTACAAAATTCATTTGCTATTCTATGATTTATGTTTTTTTAATTTATGTTTTTAAAAGGCAATTTTTTAGAGAAGTTTTAGAGAAGTTTTAAGTTCACAGAAAATTAAGAGGAAGATACAGATATTTCCCATATATCCCCCCCACACATGCATAGCATCCCCCATTTTCAACTTTACAAACCTCCCTCTCAGAGAGGTACCTTTGTTAGAATTGACCTACACTGACACATTGTAATCACCCAATTCTGTAGTTTACATTACCATTCACTCTTGGTGTTGTATATTCCATGGGTTTGGACAAATATATAATGACATGTATTCATCATTATAGTATCACACAGATTATTTTCACTGCCCTAAAAATCTGGTCTCCACCTATCATCCACCCTTCTCCAGCTCTTCAACCCCTAGCAACCACTGATCTTGTTTTACTGTCTCCATAATTTTGCCTTTACCTGAGGTCATTTTGTTGGAATCATACAACTTTTTTAGATTTGGTTTCTCTTACTTAGTAATATGTATTCAAGGTTCTTCCAGGTCTTCTCATGGCTTGATAGCTCATTTCTTTTTAGCACTGAATAATATACCATTATCTGGATGTACCACATTTTATTTATCCAATCACCTACTGAAGGACATCTTGGTTGCTTCCAAGTTTTGGCAAATATGAACAAAGCTGCTATAAACATGCATGTGTAGCTTTTTGTATGGACGTAAGTTTTTAGCTCCTTTGGGTAAATTCCAAGATGTGCAACTGGTATGGTAAGAGTATTTTTAGTTTTATAAGAGACTGCCAAATTGTCTTCCAAAGTGCCTGTACCCATCTGCATTCCTACCAGCAATAAACAGGAGTTCCTGTTGCTCAACATACTCACCAGTATTTGGTGTCATCACTGATCGAGATTTTGAACATTCTGATAGATGTGTAGTGGTACCTCCCTGTTTTAATTTGCATTTCTCTGATGACCTATGATGTGTAACACCTTTTCATATATATATGTATATATATATATATGTATATATATATATATATATATATATACACA